CTATGCTGATGCTCTTTCTCAAACCTGAACTGAGTTTTAAACAGGTCCCATGGCTCTTAAGGCAGGGAGGGAAGCAGAGAAAAATGTAGAGCTCAATAAAAAAATCAATTTTTTAAAAAATGAAAAAAACAAGTATACCCACACACAATCACCCTTAGGCAAATTTGAGAAGTTCTAGCGAATAGGCCTTTTCTACTCGTTAGTAAAAGGAATGAAACCAGACAGAGCCAATAAGCAGCAAACATCAGGTTCTAATGGAGATGTGGGTGATGAACACCATTAGTCGTGGCATACAGTACAGATGTTACCTCCGTGATACATACGTGTGGGGGGGGACTATAAAAAGCATGAGGAAACATTCTAAATTTCCAACTCTCTCTGAACCGAAAGTTGTACTATCAATTAAAGGCTACTTAAAAATGTAGGTGAGTAAATTTTTTAATGATGATGTTGATTTTCAAATAAATTGTATAAAAGTATAATAATATCAGAAGCGAAGGTCAGTATATTGTAAGTTCAGCAGTATTAGATGTTATATTTTAAGCAGCACTTTATCAAGTTATTAAAATTGTGGTCTGTATCATCAAAAAGTATGGTGTGATAATTGGATATTATTTCACAATGACTATTTTAAAGTATGCTTTTTATATATTTCATTGAAATTTATTTTCTTTTACATCTCATTTATTTATTTGGAAATTGTTCTTTTTTGTAGATATGAATGAAGCCTTTTTCTGAACGCCCTCTTATAGAGGAAGGGCAAAATTTACCCATATTGTTTTTCTTTTTCATTGTGCTGAAACTTCAAGTTATTAAAATTTTACAGTTTATCTAATTCTGTCTGATCATAAATGTGCCAATAAATAAAAGTCGACTGAGTATATTTTTTTTCTGAGTATATTTTTTCATTTACATTATTTTATTTGCTTGTCTTTTTCTATGTTGGGGATCGAATCTGAGGTCTCACACATAATAGGCAAGCAATCTACCACTGAACGATAGCTAAAGCCACTAAATTGTTTTATGCTTATCATGTTAAAACTTGATTGTGTTTTAACCTAATTTTAAGTAACTGCAAAAACTTGCTGTTTCGAGCTCTTATGTGCCTTTAGCAGTACTTCAGGAAAAAAATTAAAGAGTATTGGTGACTATTTAAAGTAATGTATTCCATTTACTTTCTCTCTGACATTAATTCAATATGAAATCTCTTCTGCTCTGCTCCAAATACTGTGTTGGGTTGGAGACTGGAGAAAATAGGCCGTCTCTCATTTCTCTTCCAGCTTCTCTGATATTTCCTCTCACCTGCTCTTCAGTTCTTAGCTGATTAGGACTTTGCCAAGGTCAGACATATAGAGAACAACAGACAAGAGGGAAGCTCTAGTGTTTTGGGATGGTCTCCACTGTGCTTGTTCCTCATGGAGCTGTCCAGGGTTTAAAGATGACTTGTGTAGAAGGACCTTGTCTTGGGCTCTTTGTAGAGACCATCATTGGTCACTCGTAGAATTATTTTTAACCCCAGAAGACACAGTTTTATTTGTATTTGTCTGTCTGTATGTCTGGAAGTATATGTCTATATGTTTGTCTGAATGCATATGTGTGTACATATGTATGTATATATATGTATGTATATATATACACACATATATGCATATAGATGCCAAAGGAGGCTAGAGGACAAGATTGAACGTTATTTCTCTAGCACTTTCTACCTTTTCTTTGGACAAGGTCTCTTGTTGTCCTGGAACTTCACCACGTGGGCTAAACCAGCTGTCCAGTGAGCTCTTGAGAGCCACCTGTCTCTGCCACCCATTTCGACATTCCTAGAATTAGAATTGCATACCATTGCTGACTTTTTATGTGGGCCTTGGGGATCAAACTGAGAACCTCCCCTTTGCAAAGCAAACACTTAACTGTCTAATCTAGCTACTGAGTTCCATGTTTTTATTCTTAGTGGTCACCTGTGAGTCTTTCTGTAGTCTTGATGAGTGGATTTTAGACCTCTCGTTTTACTTCATGGTTGTTCCTGGGACTCACAAAACTTCATACGAAAGCTCACACATTTAAGAGTATGTATTGTGTGTGTGTGTGTGTGTGTGTGTGTCTGAGTGTCAGTAGAGGAAGCCATCAATTTTCTTTCCTCACTATTATATACACAACCACCTACTTTAGTTTCTCTAGAATAACACTGACTCTGAATCTCAGGGTCTCCCAGTAGCAGAAATCAATTTCTAACCTTGTGGGGTTCTTCAAAAAGCAAGATCCATTTTCAGGACCAATGTGTAGAAGTAGAACTTTCCCTGTAACATCTGCTACTGAAGTTCTTTCTTTGGTAATCGACTGGAAATTAGTCTTTTGGTCTCATGGTGTCAAGTTTAGCACCACCTTATTGCGAATCATAGGGATGAGATTTCCATTCATCTTAACACCTGTTTTAGAGTTTCCACATCCGTGAGGATTTGGGGGGAGGCTGTATATCCCATGAGTCACTATGTAGATACAGACCCTTAGGAGGTGCTCTGTAGACACTTTAGATGTGATTAGTATGCCAGCATGACCAAAAAACAGATTCACACACCATTGTCGTCTTCACAGTTAGACCAAAGCAAGCACCATCATAATAATCTGACCCAGAAAAGTTGCCTTAAATTATTTAATAATAATAAATGGTGGTCGGGAATGGAATTGGCAAAGAAGCGCCAGCACCATTGTGTCTGCTTCTTTTAGTACCTTTCTCCGTGTTCTGATTCCCAGATTTTAAGGGTTAAGTTGCATCTCTTATTTCTCTGCCTAAAAAACACTCTTTTTCCTGTCAGCCTAGACTAAAGCATGCTTTAAAGCTGTTTGCCAAACAAAATACTTGGCAAAAACAGCACTGACTCAATTGTAGGAAACACTGGAGATTTTTTAATGTCTTAGATAATTGCAAATACACCATTTATAAAAGGTAAGAAGCATTACCAAAAACCCAAGAGGTTTTCTGTCTCTCACTTATGTTTCTGGGAGGCAACAAGCATCACAGAAAGCAACAGGATTGCATTAGTGATAATAGAACTTGCCTGCTTCTTGTAGCTCTGAGACCATTGGCTACCTTACTAAACTCCTGAGTTACAGTCTTCATTCTTCAGACAGTCCTGGAGCCTGTTTTATGGTGTTGTTTAAAAGATCAGAGATAATGCACACGTGTTGCTGAGCCCTAAAGGAGCGTTATCTGCCTTATCAGCTATCAGTCTATCTGATCCTGGGTAAGGTTGCCACGCTGACTCCTTCTTTCCTAGGGACTTGAAAAAATGTTTTCAGTTTAAACACACTTTGAGTTTTCAAAATTACATTGGTCCTGCAGTTCAGTGAAATGGTCCATGCCTCATTAACCATCGCTGACTTTACAGGCAGGTCCACCTGGGCAGGAACGTGGCTGGGCCTGGTTAAGGAAACTGGCCTTAAATGTTTGATGAGTTTACGTGAAAACGGCATCTATTCTGGGGGCTGAAAATCTTAGTGGAATATGAACAATAGAAGAACTAAATGTAAAACTGAAATTGGGATATGACTTTCATAGTCAAACAAAGCAAACTTCTTTTCTGTTGTTCTTTTCGGCAGCTTGATCAGGGGCGGAGGGGGAGTGGAAAATGGTCCCATTTAAGAAAAGTAAGCAATGTATTGGCAGGTAGTGACTTTAAATTGCACATTAAACTAATCCAGGGCCATGCCTTAATAAAGGCTAGGGCTGGGAATTCTTATGGATTTTCTAACTCACTGTCAGGACAACATCGAAAGGCAATAAATGTCCTATTACTTACACAAGCTGATAGCTTTCAGAAAATTAGTCACCAATGACCTTTTCCCCTTTGTCTTGGTCTCTCCTTCTTGGTAACTGTACCTGATCTCACTCAAATGCAGGCCAGTTCACAATCAAATAAATACTTTTCTAACCTAGCTTTAACTCTCAACAGCTGAAGTACCAGGAAAACACATATTTCTATACATTTACCTACTATTTCTAAGAAAAGCACATGTTTCTCTATGTTTGTTTTACCAGATACAAAAGTTATTTCTACCAACTGTTGGGTTAAGTCAAATAAAATGCAGCTTATTTTAAGAATAAATCTCACTTCCAGCATCTCAGATAGAAAAATGGCAAGCAACTAAAATTTCTTCATTCTTTTATACATCACAGTAATAATTTGACTTTGTTTTTGGTACTCTGCTTAATTCAGGATAATATGTATGTGGACAAGGAGTGGGTTGTGAGGGAAGGAGGCAGGACAGAGCAAGGCTGATCCAAGAAAGGACCAGAAAAGAAGAGACTTTGTGTGACTTAGGGGTGCCAATCCTTATATTGAATTATATTGATTAGTTTTCCAGTTAGCAGAGAGACCTCCTCCTGACCCTATTTTCAGGGTCACTAGATCATAATGCAATCTCATGAAGAGCCTGCTCTGCTTCCTCATATTGCTTTCTGAGAAAACTCTGGTTTTGAAAATCATCCATCAAAAACCTTCTCATTTTCAATTCTTTTTTTTTAATTCTACCAAATAGATAGATGCACATATAAATGGTAAATTCTATGTGTAGCAACACATTTTACATTTGACATAAAATAAGATATGAGGATATAACCAACCTTTTTTTTCAAAAACTCTTTTAGAAATTAAATCTCGGAATCAGGGAAATAAAACGATAGTGCCTGGCAGACAGGTGTCTCTGCTACAAGATCCAGACAACTTATAATGAAAAATAATATTATTTTAAAGTGGATTTATGCACACAGCAAGTATCATAATAATATATGTATATATTGGGTTTACTCAGATACTTTTTTTCCTTTTTATTTCTTTATTTTTATTTTTTTATTGAGAATAGGAAAAAAAAGTTTCCGCCTCCTCCCAACCTCCCATTTCCCTCCCCTTCCCCCCACTCTTCTCCCCTCTCCCCACTCCTCTCCCCCTCCCTCTCCAATCCAAAGAGCAGTCAGGGTTCCCTGCCCTGTGGAAAGNCAAACTGGCTAGGCTCCCACCAAGCCGGAACATGAAGTAGGATCAAAACCCCTTGCCATTGACCTTGGCTTCTCATCAGTCCTCATTGTTCGCCATGATCAGAGAGTCCGGTTTTATCCCATGCTTTTTCAGTCACAGTCCAGCTGGCCTTGGTGAGCTCCCAATAGATCAGCCCCACTGTCTCAGTGGGTGGGTGCACCCCCCCGTGGTCCTGACATCCTTGCTCGTGTTCTCCCTCCATCTGCTCCTCATTGGGACCTTGGGAGCTCAGTCCACTGCTCCAGTGTGGGTCTCTGTCACTATCTCCATCCATCACCAGATGAAGGTTCTTAGCCAAGAGGATAACTATATGTTTTTTCTTGGGTTCACCTTCTTATTTAGCTTCTTTAGGTTCACCAGGTTTACACTCTGTGACCTTTATTTATAGCTAGAAACCAATTATGAGTGAGTATATCCCATGTTCATCTTTTTGGGTCTGGGTTACCTTGCTCAGAATAGTGTTTTCTATTTCCATCCCCTTCAATAGAAGAATGGATGAAGAAAGTGTGGAATATATACACATTAGAGTACTATGCTGCGGTAAAAAACAATGACTTCTTGAATTTTGCATACTCAGATACATTTTAATCTTATGTCAAGTATCAAAGAATAGGTCACAAACCTAATAATTATGGTCCTATGAATAAGTATGAGCCTAACGATGCTCTAGGATACTTCAGGATATTGGTATAGGGACAAGGATATTGTATTCTAAAATTTTTATCTGCATGAAATTTTATGGATAGACATAATTTAAACTAGATTTTCTTTTTTTATGATTTTTAATTTATTTTTTATTTCATTTTATATTTCAACCACAAATCTCCCTCCCACCTCTATTCCTCCCTCACCTCCTCTCCCCCCATCTACTCCTCCCAAAGGGTAAGTGTTCCCATGGGGAGTCAACAAAGCCTGGCCCATTAAACTGAGGCAAGACCAAGCCTCTGGCCCTCTGCATGAAGTCTGAGCATGGCATCCCACCATAGGGAATGGGCTACAAAATGCCAGCTCATGCACCAAGCATTGATTCTGGATTTATGTCAGACCGACCAAGCCACCTAACTGCCTCCCACATGCAGGGCCTAGTTTGGTACCATGAAGGTTCCACAGCTGTAGGTCAAGAATTCATGGTTCCTTCGAGCTTGGTTCAGCTGTCTAAATTTTTCCTTCATTATCTTGACCTCTCCTGCTCATATATTCCCTCCTCCCTCTCTTTGACTGGATTCCCAGAACTAGGCCTGGTGCTTGATTGTAGATCTCTGCATCTGGTTCCATCCATTACTGGATGAAGGCTCTATGGTGACGGCTGGGCTATTCACCAATCCTATTACAAGGAAAGGTCAGTTCAGGCACCCTCTCCATGGAGATTTTTCTAGAATTCATGAGAAGCTTACACAGAGTCAGTTTTCTGTTGTGTGGACAAATCAAGTGTTATGTACACCTTTTAGCTAGTTGGGTTCAAGTTAGACTCATGCACGAACACTCAGTAGTCTCATTTGATATGCAATTGTAGATACTTGGTTGGGTCTATTGTGGCTTTGGGATCTATCTCCTTACCTGTTTATTCCATTTTCTCTCCCTGTTCTATTTGACTGAAGAGGACTTCCTTATTTCAATTTAGTTAGGACTGAATTATCTTCACTAGGATAACCTAACACCCTAGCTCTGGTCTATGTTAACAAAACATTGTTATTACCCTTCTATGTTATCCTCCAGGCACACTTACTGTTTGGTTGTAATATATCTTTCTAGTTAGGAAAAGATTTTAGGCTGTCAAGACAGCTCCTTTCTTCACAAAGTAATCAATTAAGTGCTTGAGATTCTCTCTTCCATCTCTTGTATTCTGCTGTTCACGCTTGCGTTTGTGGTTCCTGATCGTTTTCGCATGATTTCTGTTTCTATAATTCTTTCGGTTTGTGTTTCCTTTATTGTCTCTATTTCAGTTTTCAAGTCTTGAATAGTTTCTTTCATATGTTTGATTGCTTTTCTTGGTTTTCTTTACATCAGAGATTTGCTGATGTCTTCCAATTTTTTGTTTGTCTTTTCCTCCATTTCTTTGAGGGAATTTCTCATTTCCTCTTCAAGAATTTCAAACATTCTCCTGAAGTTATTTTTAAGTCATTTTCTTCTGCTTCAACTATATTTGGTTGTTCAAGTGTTGCTGCTGTAGGGTCTTTAGGTTTTACTGGTGTCATGTTGCTCTTTGTGGTGTTGCATGTTTTCTACTCGTCTTTTACTCTAAAGGTGTGGTTGGGGCTGTCTGTGATTCTGTTGATTAATCTTCTTGATGCCAGTGAATCCTAGGCTCAGATAGTTGTTCCTCGTGGTACAGTCAGTGCCATGGTTTTAGTTACCCCATTGGTCACTCCACGTTCCAGGAGGTTGCTCAGCGCTCATGGGCTTTGTTCAGCTCCTTTGGAGTTTGCTGTCTCAGGCCTGCTCTAGCCTAGGTTGTCAGTTCAGACTTGTTTCTGTAAATGTCCCCCATCTGGGTCAGTTCACTCAGCTGGCCTCAGTTTACCCCCTGAGAACTGCCACAGTATGAAATTTCTTTTGGAAATATGAGTCATTCTATAACGTAACATCTTAACCACCCATGTGGGATGGAGATATTGAAAGGCTAAGTTAGAGAATTTTAAAAATTATGAATATTGGGATTTTTAATTTTTTGAATGTTTTTGAGCATGAACTATGTAGAGCACATTTTATTGAAATAACAAAAGGTTAGACACTCGACAACAAAAATGACAACTGTGAAGACAAAAACTGAATCTCTTCTTTTTTAGGCCAATTTCTTCCTATGCATTAGTTCAATTTCAATTAGCTAGCTTATGATATGTTAATAAAATCACGAGGTTTAAAGAATGAAAGAGTGGCGCTACCTAGGTCTTAATTGAGTTTTCTATTTTCTGTCATGTACAGAACTCTGGCTGATGCACAAACTTGCATTTTTGTCCTCCATTATTGACAAAGCACCCATTATGGTGTGATACCTGCTAATTTTGTGTGGGTCTAATTGTCTTTATTTTTTCATACTGTCAATATAATCCAGAAGGAACCGAAGCAGTCCCTGGACACTGCCTTGAGTAGATTGTACATCCTGCAGACCAAGTAAACTTGGTAGTTCTCCACTTTAGCTAAATAACCTATGCTGAGAGAAATTTTGAAAACTGAAATGAAGGCACAGTTTGTACCAAATGCGGCATACTGATGTTCAGCAGTCACCGTCTCTTCTAGTGAGAAGCATTAAAATGTAAAACCTCTTAGGTTGAGCAGTTTAGCAAACAATTTCCAAGAAAGAGCTCAACCTTAGAGGTTTTACATTTGCTTGTACCCCTTGAACCCTACATCTCTATAAAGTTCTGGGTCCTGCTTGGTTTTTTGCTCTCCCAGTACTCTCTATGAGTCATCAAGTTCAGCTTTCCCCAGGACCCTATGGAGACCTTACTAGGGCAACTCAACTCACAGAAGGCATAGTCTTTTTTTTTTTTTCATTTTTTTTTTATTTTATTGAGAATAAGAAAAAAAAAGTTTCCGCCTCCTCCCAGCCTCCCAT